GTAATCCGCACTTTTGAATTGCAATCTTTGTTCTGTGAACTCTAAATTTATAATAACCAATTAAGTGTGAAAGTTCCACTGGCAGAAATCATATTCTTTTATTAAGAACAAACTACTGGAAAGAAAGCTAGACGAGGGGTACACTGGAAAAAGCAGATAGAGACACGAAGAGAGAGAGAGTGGACAAGTATAAAGGAATAAGGAAATAACTGATATTCCTTATTCAATTCCTAATATAAAGGGATACTCATTTAAAACTTTTTTGTATATAATTAGTAAATTATATATGGCCATGTAATTAAATTAAAACTTGAGCAGGGAGAGTAATAAGGTTTCAAATAGCGCATAGAAATGTAAAAATCCCTTCTTTTTATATTTGGCCAAACAGACTTAATTCAAATATGTCGTTTTATGAAATCAAGAATGTTTTCATTTGATTTTTAGAATGTACTCTTTACTTCAATAAATAATGTACATAATATTTCTAAAAATCTTAAAAAAATTAAGAGAGATAAAAGATAACTTATTCAAATAACAATTATGGGTAATGATATTAAGCCATTTGTCTGATGAGTGTGTTAATATTTTAAATAAGAGTGAATCCTCCTATATTATTATACTTTAATTTTGTCAAGTTTTCTACCTAAATATAATTTTCTTGTGTCCCCAAAAACTCCCTTAAATTATATTTTTTAAATTAAAACCCCTAGTTGAATTATTAGAGGTATTGATACACGCTCTTAATTATTGAAAAAATGTGCAACGTGGCATTACACATGGTTATTTAATATCCTAAAATCCCTTAAGCTATTAATTTTTGTCAGTTTCATATCTAAACTATCAGGTATCCCCAAAAGCCCTTGAACAATATTCCTCTAAGCTAGGGTTTAATTTTGGACATTACGGCGAAAGTAGGATAATGTAATGTGTTATTTCAAACTTTAATTGTGATTGTGTTTTATGCTAGATTCCAGTTGAATAAGTACTTATTTACATTTACTTTGCAGCAAACAAAAAAAAAAATCCAAATGCAAGCATATAGATTTGCATTTCTAGAAAATCATCGTATATTACAGATAAAATTATTCAATACAAGATTTCACAAACAAGAAATTGAATAGGCAGCAACTCCATTCTCTACAATGTCCATGGTTTAGTAAGAAGATTTAAAAGCGTGTTCTTTTAATAATATAGGTAAGAAATGAAAGAAGATTAAAATAAGAAAGAGAATAAATAATTTCAGACGAAACAAGAGAAGAGAAGAAAGAATATTTTCAAAGGGAATCCAAATTGAGAAATGAAGAAGGGTAAAAAAAAAAAAGAAGATTAAAATGAAGAAGAAAGCCTAGAATATAAGGAAAATAAAGAGAGAAAAAAATTAAAAAGACTAAGCTTAATTAGCTATTACACATGGGGCCATTTGGATGGATATTTTCATCTATTACGTGTCTTTTTTGCTAGTTATCTCACACATTTTGCTGGATAATTTACGAGAATTTTAATTAGAAAATGAACATAGTTTATTTTAGCAACACCAAATAGTTTAGGTAAGAAATGACAAAAATGTATTTAAGAAATACCAGACAGTTTCATTAAAAACAGCTTTTTATCTACTTATAAAAAGAATTTACTTTTTCTTTTTCTTTTCAATTTCTTCTCTATATCAACAAGTTTTAACTACTTCTCAAAAGCATATATCTCTTAAGAATTTGGGCGAACAAACTACTACGAGACGAGCTAATATTTTACCTTACTGTAAAATTTTATAAAGCAACCACATTGAATTCTCTGAAAATTGGATCAGAACAAATATTTGTGACCTATGTCGGGGAAAGATATAAATGCTAAGGCCAAATACTTAAAAAATGTGCTAGAGGCCAAATTGGAGGCCCCCCAATGATATAAGGTAAACAATTGGGGCCATTTCATTAAGGAGAAAAGTGGATAAGAACAATGAGCTGTAAATATTTTCTTATAAAGGACAATTGAGGTATATCCAAAATAGTCCCCTCAACTCATTGAAAAAAAATGGCACAATACATGGACAAACACTTAAACTATTAAAGAAAGTTTACCTAAACACCTCAACTGAGCCATTTTCCACCGAAACACTTTTACTATACTTTTACTGCACCAGTTTAACACGTCCGAAACACAATTCGGTGATGTGGCATAGTGTGTGTTGCCCACCTCTTTAGAGAGCGTGGGATGCTATGTTATGGGTCCCAAAGAAAAAATAAATATCAATAGAGAGAGAAAAAAAAAAAAACTTTCTTTCTCTCACTTCTCCATCTTCACATTCCACCTATTCTGTCAATTAACACCATGTGAGCTTTACCAAGCTTCACTGTAAAATTTGTATTATCCATGCTGGAATTTAAGGGTTGACATATTGGAAGAGGCTTAAATTCTTTAGTAGAAGGGTTCCATAGTGCTACTTCTTCTTGATCATTATAAAGCAAAAATAAACCATTTAAAGGACCAAGAATTTCCCATAAATGCGTAGATGTGTTTAAAAAATCTTGGTACAAATGGGATTTAGCAAATAATTGGTTTTGTTCATGAAATAAAGTAAAACCAAATTTCATTGTATCAAGAAAATAATGATGAACAAAGTAATTTGTAGGATTATTGGGATGGTTAAGGTGTTTTTAAATAAAAATGGGATTTTCAATGAGGGCATACCAGTCTTTTCTGACGCTCTTGGATTGCAAAAGACATTTCACTGGCAATCTTGAGAAAAGTTCCATCACTAAATCTTGTGGTAAGTCACTAAAGTTTGTTGTTTGCACCATTTTTGTTTCTTCCAAGAAATGGAATTGTTTCCAAAAATAGAAGGAAAAAGAAAAATAAGTAATTTGGTATTGGGAGTTATTTTGACGGGGTGGGTATGTGTGTCTATACACGTGTCAATTTTAATTGGTTAGATTATCCATGCTGGAAGCGCGTGAACAAACGCGTCAAAAAATTTATAAGCTCAGATCGGACGTGTTAAACTGGTGCAGTAAAAATATAGTAAAAGTGTTTCGGTAAAAAATGGCTCAATTGAGGTGTTCAAGTAAACTTTCTTTGATAGTTTAAGTGTTGTCTATGTATTATGCCAAAAAAAATCAAGAGACAATGATATAATTACGAGATTAGAAGCACTAACCTCTTGAAAACGTTGCACAAGGTCTTCCACAGAGCAAGAATTCAGGGCTGCAGTCTTCTGCTATGCTCCTAGTAAGACTTTGGACGAAATTGTTTTGAGTGTGAAAAAATAATACAACCCTAAAATTGTGTTAGTGAGTGAAAAACGTCTTCCTTATGTAGATCTGAAATTCAGCCCAAAAAAGGGGGCTAAAAACATGTAGGATTCTATTTGTGCAAGTAAAATCCTACTCTAACTCCAAAGGATTTCCCAAATCACTTTTTTTATCCAACTACCAATTATAACATTAATTCGAAAATTTGGATGAATTAATTCTTATTAATTGCAGTTTATTCCACTAAAAAATAACAATTGAACTCCTCAATATGAATTTCGAAAATTCACTAACACTTATTTTACCTCCCCATGTTAAGATCACAAAAAGTAAATCACTAACAATTTAATTTAACCAACTAATTAAATCCTTTATAATTCTGCTTAAATTATTTCATGTGATGGATACAAATTCACCGGCCGACTTCTCACATGAAAACTTATAAGCTTACATAAAGGGTATCATCAAACTCAAAACCGAGTCATGAATTCTATCAACTAAATATTATTTCACAAATGTTATTCGTTATTGTCCAATCTATTAGGCATACACTAACTCTGAATAGAGTTGTACCTTTTGATAAATCAAAACAATAAACAAATCACATTGATCATAATAGTTATATCAAGATTTGGAATATAAGTTCATTTAATGAATCAGAGAAAGTGTTTTATATATATTTAGTACAAAAAATATCTTTTCTCTACTTGGTCCGTTCAATATACACTAAGTATACTAGCACAAGAAATTGGAGTAATCACTCTCATAATTAAGATAAATTATACTTTAATCTTGTGCTACAATCATCAAGATATTTTGCCCAACAATATCTTCGATTGTGAACATAGTTTATTAATTATGAGAACCCATAATTTAATCTTATGTGCATGAGCTAAGACTCCATAGACTAAATTGTCTACTACATTATTAAAGGATACACATTTAACAAATGATCTATTTAAAATAATACTTTATTGAATTGAATAATTCAAACAAACAATTATTCCATAACGTATAAAACACAAAACTATAACTAAAATGCATGGTTAATAGTATATCCTAAGCGTCGCTACATTAATATGATATTGTTGTTTGATTAAAATAAATATTTTCATTTACTCTTGAGCATAAAAAAGGTTGTCCAATCTTGCTACACTAGTTTATGACTTTATGTAGGAGAAAAAGGTGAGAATATTGATTAAACTCTCTAGAGACTAGAGTAACTATCAGTGGATTTTAGAAGGGCAACTATATTCATAAAATATTCTCGATAACTTCCATGGAAATGGAGTTTTCAGCTTGAGAGACGAAGAAAGAAAGGGAGCTCAATGTTGAGGAAAGCAGAGAATGCTTTGTATTTCATATGTGAAAGGAAATGAAAATCTGTTTCTAGCTATTACATGTACAGTGTATTTATAGTTGTAACTAACTAACTAACCCCTATACAATTACTTCTAATATCTTAACTAATTTCGGATGAGCTGGATCCCAGCTGGATTGTTGCAACTACAACTTGAACTTTGCCTTCACATGCTCATTGTTCAACACTCCCTCTCAAGCTGATGGTTGAAACATGTTCTTCACTCCAAGTTTCCTCAGTAGATAATCATGTTGTGCTTTGCTCAGGCCTTTTGTAAGTAAATCTGCCAGTTGCTCCTTTGTAGACACATGCTCAATTTTGATCAGACCATGTGAGATCTATGTCTCTTACAAAGTGACAATCTATGTCTATATGCTTGGTTCTTTCATGAAAACTTAATTTGATGCAATTTGTATTGCAGCTTTGCTGTCACACATCAACTGAACACGTAAATCCACACAAATTCCAAGCTCTTTGAACAACCCCACAAGCCAAGTAATCTCGGCAGTGCATGAGGCCATGCTTCTAAATTCAGCCTCAACTGAGCTCCTGGAGACAGTTTCCTGCTTCTTTGATTTCCAGGAGATAAGAGCACCACCTAACTTCACTAGATAACCTATAACAGACCTTCTTGGATCCACACAGGCCCCCTACTCTGAGTCACAGTAGGCTGTTAGCTTTTTTGTATTCTTAGCAGGCATTAAGAGTCCCAAACCAGGTTCAACCTTGATATATTTCACCACTCTGAGGGAAACTTCTAAGTGAGATGTTTTGGGGCAGTGCATATATTGGCTAAAAAATTGGACTGCAAATTCCAGGCCAGGTCTAGTCATGGTGAGGTATAGAAGTCTACCCATCAACCTCTGATAGATACTAGGATCCTTCAGCTTTTCATCTGTAGCTGCATTGTCACTTTGCAGCCAAGTATCATAATCCACAGAAGTCATTTTTTGATTCAACTCTAGTGGAGTTCCTACAGGTTTAGCTCCGCTCAGTCCTGATTCAGAAATGAACTCTAAAGCATATTTTCTTTGATTCATCACTATGCCCTTCTCATACCTAGCAAACTCAATTCCCAGAAAGAATTTGAGCTCACCTAGGTCTTTTATCTTGAACTTGTTTTGCAAGTCCCTTATAGTTTGATCTAACATGATTTGATTGTTGCCTGTCATCAACAAATCATCTACATAGACTAAGATGGCTGATATGTCATGAATTGTTCTCTTGATGAAGAGAGAGTAGTCAACTTCAAGTTCTCTTGTCTAAACCCCTTTTGCAGTAAAGCCTCAGTCAACTTCAAGTTCCACTGCCTTGGAGCTTGCTTAAGCCCATAGAGGGGTTTTTGTAGTTTGCAGACGTTCTAAGACTCCCCCTGTCTGGAAAACCCTTCAGGAATGTGCATATAAACTTCCTCTTGAAGCTATCCATTGAAAAAGGCATTGTGAGCATCCATCTGATAGATGCACCAGTTCCTTGATGTTGAAAGGACTATAATGGACCTCACAGTGACCATCTTGGCTATTGGGGAGAATGTTTCTATGTAATCCAGACCCTCCTTTTGACTGTATCCTTTTGCAACCAACCTGGCTTTGTATCTTTCCACTTCACCTGAGGCTCTACACTTTACCTTATAGATCCATTTGCATCCAATTGGCACTTTACCTGGTGTCAAATCAACAATGGTCCATGTGTGATTCTTCTCCAAAGCAGCAATCTCAAGTTGCATAGCTTGTGACCACTTTGGATCAGCAGTAGCCTCTTTGAAAGTTTGTGGCTCAGTCACAAATGAGAAAGTGGCGAGAGCTTTCAGAAAATGAGGAGTCACATAGTGATGAGACACATATGATGAAAGGGGATAAGAACATGTAGTGCCCTGGGACTGTGTCACATAATCTTTCAGCCACAATGGAGGTTTACTCTGTCTGAGAGATCTTCTGAGATTTTGGGTGTCTGAAACTTCTGTGAAGTCATAGTTACCAGGAACAACTAGCTGGTCAGGTAAGTGGTCTGGAGCTTCTACAGCAGAATTACTAGGAACATCAAGCTGCTGTTCTGGAGCTTCTTCTTCTGGATCTGATATCTCCCCCTGAGATGAAGATGTGGGGTTATGTGCATCACTAGCAACTTCAATATGATTTTATGGAATGTAGGAGCCAGGTTGGGGCTGAGTTGATGTTGGAGTCAAGAGGTCCAGGAGTGGAAATAGAGGAGTGCCTGAGCTTCTCATGTCCTTGAAAGGAAAGATGGCTTCATGGAATACTTCTTGCTTACAAAGAAAACTTTAGAATGTAGATTGTATAGAATATAACCATTTTGTGTTGGAATACCCCATGAGAACAGATGGTGTTGCCCTGGAGGAGAACTTGTCATGTACATTAGGACTGGTTGCATAGGTCAAGCAACCAAACACTCTCAAATGATTCAAGGAAGGAGGGTGTAAGTAGAGCTTTTCAAAAGGTGATTTGTATCCAATGACTTTGTAGGGAAGCTTGTTGAGTAAGTACACGGCAGTGTTAACACACTCTTCCCAAAACCTTAAGGGTATTGATGCTTGAAATCTGAGTGATCTAGCCATGTCTAAAATTGTCCTATGCCTTCTCTCAGCAACACCATTCTGTTGAGGGGTATATACACAAGTACTCTGATGATTAATGCCTAGTTCCAGTAGTAAACTAGTGAAGTCAGAACTGAAGAACTCACATCCATTGTCTGTCCTACGTGTTTTCACTTGAGTAGAAAATAAGTTGTGAACTTTGGCAAAGAAATTTCTCAGCACTACCAAAGTGTCTGACTTGGAGTGAATTAGAGATATCCAAATATATCTTGTGAAGTCATCTACAATAGTCACAATACGTAGGTGTAAAGACACAGCCTGTTGTTTTGAGATTTATAGCCTCGATCCCCTATTTATTGCTTCCCCTGTATCTTTTTCTGCTTATGAGACTTGCCGGGAGGTTTCGTTTTGGTTTTTGGAGTGTTTTGGGACACTTAGTCCCTAAAAGGAGGCTTATGTCTTAGGATTTGGACCGAAGTCGGAATTGTGTGAAGACAACTCCGGAATGGAGTTTCGTCGATTTCGTTAGATCCATTGGGTGATTTTGGGCTTATGGGCGTGTCCGAATTGTATTTTGGAGGTATGTAGCTTATTTAGGCTTGAAATGGCGAAAGTCAAAATTTTGATGATTTTGACTGGTAGTGGACTTTTTAATATCGGGGTCGAAATTCGATTCCGAAAGTTTGAGTAGGTTCGTAATGTTTATTATGGCTTGTGTGCAAAAATTTGAGGTCATTCGGACGTGATTAGATAGGTTTCAATATCGGTTGGGGAAATTTGAAGTTTCAAGTTCATTAAGTTTGAATTAGAGGGTGATTCGTGATTTTAACGTTGTTTGATGTGATTTGAGGGCTCGACTAAGTTCGTATGGTGTTTTAGGACTTCTTGGTATGTTTGGTTGAGGTCTCGGGGCCTTGGGTGGATTCCGGGTGGTTAACGAACTAGTTTTTGGACTTGAAAGATAGCAGATTTCTGGTGTTTTTGTTGCAGACATTCCTTTACCGTGTTCGCGAGAGAGGTCTCGCGATCGCGTAGAGCATCTGGAAAGGCAGCTGATTTGTTCTTCGCGTTCGTGATATGGTTCCCACGTTCACAAAGATGTGGGTCCTTAAGCCTACGCATTCACGATAGGGTCCTCGCGTTCGCGTAGAGGAACAGGCAGATAGAGCTTCAGGCACTAAGCCTACACGTTCGCGAAGGGGGTCCCGCATTCGCGTAGGGTCAGCAAGTGAAAGGTACGCATTCGCGAGTAGTCCCTCACGTTCGTGAAAGAGGAAAATTGGTCAGTGGAATTTTGTTATAAGCAAACGCGGGAGAATGGCCGCATTCGCGGAGAAGAAAATCTAGCAGACAGTATTAATTTCAAAACGAGGGTTTGAACCCATTTTTCATATTTTGAGCTATAGACTACGGGTTTGGCGATTCTTGAAGGGATTTTTGTGGAGTTGATTGGGGTGAGAAATTGGGGGAAAAGAGAAAGAACTCTTGAGTTGGGATTTTTAGGTTTTGAATGAGATTTTGTTATTGGATTACAGTAAATATAGTATGGTTAGACTCGTGAGTGAATGGGTGTTCATATTTTATGACCTTTACCCGATTCCGAGACGTGGGCCCGGGGAGGCTTTTTGGGCAATTTTCCAATCTCTTGCTTTAGCTTCGATTTCAATAGCTAGATTAGTTTCTTGTAGTTATATTTATGTTATGTAATTAATTTTGGCTAGATTTGAGCAATTCGGAGTCGGATATTCATGGAAAGAGCATTGTTACGGATTGATTTGAGCTTGGTTCGAGGTAAGTGACTTGCCTAACCTTGTGTAGGGGAACTCCCTTTAGGATTTGGTACTATTTTTGATATGTGAGCGCCGTGTACGTGAGGTGACGAGTATATACACGGGCTAATTGTTGGAAAAACCCAATTTTCTGCTAAGTAATAACCTATTTTCCTGCTTATTTGAGTTATATCACCATGTGTCGTATCCTGTTAGCTTAGAATAGCATGTCTACTTGCCTTAATTGTTTATCTGAACTCTGTGCAACATGTTTTAGTAAATTTCTTGCTTTTCCTTGACTTGGACATAGTCAAAACTGTAGGCTCTCTTTCTTTAAATGTTATTTCCATTTGTTGAGCTGCATATTTACTTTCGGAGTACGGAACATTATTCCGGGAGATCCCTCTGTTCTGCATATTTACTTTGGGACTACGAAACAGTATTCAGGGAGATTCCCCTGCACATTTATGTTTGGGACTACAAGACAGTATCTCGGGAGATCCTATTGTTATCTCCGTGTACTGAGCTGTTATCTTCTATCAATTTCATTCTTGTTAAATTTCAATCTTTATTTTACTGCGGTATTTTTTTATATGTATACCAGTAGGACCCTGACCTGAACTCGTCACTACTCAACTGATGTTAGGCTTGGCACTTACTGGGTACTATTGTAGTGTACTCATGCCCTTCCCAGCACATATTTTTCGTGTGCAGATCCAGGTACCGATTATCAGCCGCATTATCATTGAGTCGAGATAGCTTTGGAGACTTCAAGGTATATCTGACACGTCCGCAGACCTCGGAGTCCCTTTCTACTCTTTCCCATGCCCAACACTTCCTGTACTTTCTTTTTTTAGACTCTGGAGTATAGAGATACAACTTTCATTCTGTAGTTTGTGATTCACGGTGTTCCGGGTCTTGGGATAGTTGTGTACATTTCGAGAGTGATTATTGTATATGACGAGCGTCATCGTAGTTGCGTATTTAAAATTTCTTGTTAGTTGTTAGCTTTTATGCTTCCATTTCATTTTTCTGCAAGTGTTAGGCTTACTTAGTCATAGAGACTAGGTGCCGTCATGACAAATTCATGGAGGAAGAATTTGGGTCGTGACAAGTTGGTATCAGAGCTCTAGGTGCATAGGTGTCGTGAGTCATAAGCCAGTTTATTAGAGTCTCGCAGATCGGTACGGAGATGTCTGTACTTATCTTCGGGAGGCTATGGAACTATTAGGAAAATTTCACTTCTTTTAATTCCTTGTCGTGCGAAATTATGACTTTGAAATTTTAAACTTCTGTCTTCTATTCTCTCACATATGGCGAGGACACGTGCGGCCGGAGATGACCAGGTATCCGTGCCCCCTGCTAGAGCCACCAGAGGCCGGGGCTGGAGTAGAGGCCGAGGATGCCCACGGGGTGCAGCCAGAGCAGCCGAGCGAGCTGCTACAGAGGATCCACCAGTAGCTCCAGTCGGAGCGCAGGCACCTGAGACACCTACTACTACTACTACTACTACTACTACTACTACTACTACTACTACTACTACTACTACTACTACACCAGCTCTTCAGGAGACACTTGCACAGTTCCTGAGCATGTTCGGTACTCTAGCACAGACTCCTGCCGCTTGCACCCCAGAGCAGCCGGTTCTGATTGATCAGATTCCAGAGGTTATACTGGTACCATCTGTAGCCCCTGTTCAGCCCGAAGGTAGGGCAACAGTTTCAGAGGAGGAGAAACGTAGGCTCGAGAGGTACCAGAAGTACCACCCTCATATCTTCAGTGGTTTGGCGATAGATAATGCTCAGGGTTTTCTAGAAGGGTGCCACCG